AGGAACCCCCAACTCTCAATTGCCTTCTTGCCACAGTCAAACAATATGGCGGAGTAACGATTAAAACACATGCTTTCAGATGAATGGAGCACAGTAAGGTTACAGCTCACATAACCAGAGATCAGTGAAAGCTAATGCCTGTGGAGCAGAATCACATGGAGGGGAAATGGGGCTGCCTGGTAATCTTTAACGCCCGATCAATATGGATGACTGGTCTTAAAGGGTGGTCAATGGTGCTGGCTGGATGCAATGAGGATCAATTGACTAGCTCCAGGAAACAGTTGATTGTTTCAATTCCAGACAAATGGCACCCAGAATTACTGTTACTCAAGTAAAGCACCCCGCCAACAGAACTGCATAAAACCGAGTTGGCCATGAACCCAGAAATGCTCAGTTTAAAATGCTCTTTTCACCATACTCCAAACCCAATACTTCCATTACACAGTAGAACTTCCATCCCCACCACCAAAGACACTTTGGGGCAATTTTCTTGTAATGTTCATGTTTCTATAAAAACAATAAGACACTTTCCATGAAATCAATTCGGGACATGTTGAAGTGATCAATAAGTTATTTCAAGGCTGCTTGTTAGGTGTTGGGAGTTGTGTGGTTCGGTGGGTGAGCGGGCACAGCAGTTATTGGTTTTGAAAGCCAACAACTTCCTCTTTAAAGCCACAATTTAAATATATGTTACCATTAAATCAATGGGGACTTTAGACAGAAGGCTAAAAATGAAGTGGACTGGTCAAAGACAGCAAATACCGAACAGGGACTGGTGTTCTGCCTCAAACACTTCTGGCCTGTTCAATCAGTGCATTATCCCAACACTCAAACGTTTGGGTACACGCTGACATTTTGTTTGCAAGTAAAAGATTGGACTGCAGAACTAACTAAAACATGTGGACATATGTCTCGAAGGGGTTTGTTAGTACATTTAACCTTTTGTCAGTGGCAGGAATTAAATATCGCCAGGAGGAGCAGTAATGGGTGCACAGTGAGGTTGACAAAGATAAATTCTCCAGAAATTTTTACAGTTGTTTAGGTCTACAAAGCAAGACATGCTTCACACCCCCCCCCACCCCACCCCACACACACACACACACACTAGCTCACGAAATCTGGATCAGTAAATGAAAGAACAGCTACACCCACACACAATCTGGTATTTATTGCCTTCAGAGGGAACAGATGTTCACCAGCATTCAAGGCAGCTCGACTTGACCTTTACATAAAACCAGCCTTAATGTTAAGAGAACTCGGTCACCATTATGTGGGATATGTGTGTTTGTGTGTGTAGGAACGATCACTGTCATGTCTTATCTGACTCAATTACAGAAAAAAAAAAAAAAATCAAGTGTCTAATTCATTAAAGAGTCTTTACTCTGACCTCTACTGTCTCTTGTCCTAGAAGAGTGGTCAGTCATGAAAAATGTTTAATTACCTCATGTCAGCGTGGCTTCATTTTCAGTGCTAGCAATTGACTGACTGATCTGTGTAGTTTAATGTTCAAAGTTATTCTGAAAGACCAACGTGCACGTGTTTCAGTGAAGCCAGTCCTGGCTGGCAGAGAGTGATTGTAGCTCCAGAGGATATTGCTAATCAGAGATAGGAAGGGTATGTAAATAAGGCAAAGCTTTTAAGCTTTTACGAGAACCAAATGAGAAAACCTCTTTTGAACCAGGACCACATACTGCAACCTATACTGGTACTGTACTTAGTTAAAAATCATTTATTGCTTCTAGATACCTCAGTGGCCGGTATCACAAGGGCGATCTTTACATTTATTCGATATTAATAATCACCATATATATTAATAAAATACTGATTCGGTGCACGAGGAATCTAGCATCTGATCTCAGAATGAGGGTAGGGGGCTGTCTGTCTGTCTGAACAATCCTGCACTACCACAGAGTCTCGTTGAACAAAAATGACTCCAGAAGGACACGGTTTACGTCACAACTAAATAATGTACACTGTATTTTATGAAACCACTGGCTACTAAATGGCTGTTGTTTTGCTCTCCGCAATTATGGTTACCATTTGATTTATTGATCGTTTACTGTTATGTAAGAAGACCACCCACAAAAGCTAAACCATAAAGCAACACAACTCAAAACAACGATTTGGAAAGAAGACTAACACCATTAACATTATTTAGGATAGTAAGTGTAAAATGTGAACTCACAGCACAGTGCTGCATTACCTCATGGCCCTAGAAGGGTCTACTACACTCTCTCACTTTAGTTGACCAGCATCACAATAATTAAACTGACTTAAATGCAGTCAGATAGGTATGTGATATCAAATGGCACAAAATGTATATAAAAGTGAAGAACTATGATAAGGCTTATGTCCAAAAGCATTTTAAATTAACAGTAATTCAAATCAGTCACAAAACAAAACATTAAACGCCCTTCATGCTTAAAACATTTAGCATATGTAGCCTAACCACACTCATAATCATAAAGCACAACAGTTGCATTACTTGTGACGAAACTGATTTACAGACTCTTCAGCACTCCGCACCCCTCCATCTAGCTGGCTTGCAAAATGTATAATTTCTCAGTTATACCACTCTTGAAGTACTGTGCTCTAGCCAAAACACACACCAACCATACCGAATATGAATTATAGAGTGCTGTGCCAGCTTGACCTTGAAAACTGAAGGCCAAAGAGGACTCCAGCACTCAGACTGAACCAGCCTCCCATGACAGGTGGATATAAAATGGATGTGAGCTAACTGGTGAGAGTGAGCAGCTGAAGCAAGGGCGTCAAAATTAAATTACCCGGGGGCCACGGACCAGGTTGTATTGCCAAAAACTGTAGCCATGTAGGGTTCCATTATAAAAGAGCTGTCTGTAAAACTAGCTGCTCAATATGACTGTGCAGGGTAAAAATGGATGTTTTTAACTGTGACCACTAAAGCAACTTAAGTTAAGAGTCACCAGCCAGAGAAAAGGTTAGAGAACAGACAATTTGTTGCTTCTCATGCAGCACTCATCCTCGGTCTGGGTAACAAACCCCTCTCCATATACAGAAATGGGGCAGTAATGAATCTTAACACCGAAAACCATATTTTTAATCCAACAAACAAATACCTGTGACTTTTACTGAAAAATGATCAGGGTACAGGCATGAGACAGACATGACAAATTGCCTCCAGATAAATGGAAAGAAGATGAATGTCCAGAATCTCAAGAGATGTGCCAAAAAAAAAAACTAAACTGTGTGTCTGAAATAAAGTTAAAGCAGTCCACTCAAAGCTTCATTAAAAGTGGCATATATGTGACAAACCTCACCCTTAAGGAATTTTTAACACATGAATGGAACATGCTTTCGCTCATTTTCCTTCTCGCCTCGGCAAGGTAATGTCTAGAACAGTCCAGGGCTGTGCCGCATGTGTGAATGCAGCTCTAGTTTGGAGGCCAATTACACAGCTGGTTGGATAATACCAAGGAACAGGTGAACGGTCATTGTTTTTGGTCTGTGGACAAATTAGCTGCAAAGATACTGCCTGTATCTGCCTGTGACCACTTGTGGCCAGGACAAGGTGTTGTGAATAAGATTAATTTTAGGAAATGGTACTGGTCTATTGTGAGGGCAGCCAGTGCCCTCTTGGGTAGAAAGGAGCGGGCAGGAGGGGTGCAGGCATGTTGCCCCCGGTGGTGTTCGGATAAACAAACAGAGGCACAGCCACATGTGAGGCTGCCAACTTGCCTGCCAGCGGACTGTCCTCAACAGGGCAGACCTGGCAACCATTATTAAGGCTGACTTTGGCTCTGAGCCACAACTGAAGTACCGAGGTATTTTCACATGCCTGGCATTGTGCGCGAGTGTGCTTAGACATCAGTAAGCATGTGCTGGTCTAGACACTGTGTGGGCACTAAAGAAAGCACAGCCTGGCTCGTGTGTGTGTGTGTGTGTGTGTGTGTGTGTGTGTGTGTGTGTGTGTGTGTGTGTGTGTGTGTGTGTGTGTAAGCAAGAGAGTGAGAGCAAGAGAGAGCAAGTGAGGCGTTCCGGCCCCATCGCTATTAATCAATTGAGTGCCAAGGGCAAGGAAACAGCAGCACGTGTCATGACTCGACTTGCACACATTGAAAGCACCGTAGGACGGGACGGCAAAAGGAACAAGAAATATGTTAATGCTCATGTCCAAGGAACACAGACCCCAGGCCATCATAGAAAATATGTGCCAAAGCTCACTAACTCACATCAGACCCTCTGCATTTATCTGAACCTATTCAAGATGAGTTATAAACTTTCCCTTTAGTGCACAAACTCAATTCCTTCCATCATTCAAATCTGGGCCTCAGGACAAATAATATCAAATTATAATAGGATATGATAACTTTGTAGTCGTGTTTATTGCAGCACTCAGCTTTCCAATTTTTATCTACACTCCCAAACAGCTGTGCTGAGGTTTTATTGTCCTTTTCTGTAGCTAAATGTCAAGGGAAGTACAAAAGAAATGCATCGACAGCCCAGACAGCTTCATCTGTCTTCCTAATTGATACAGAGAAGGCATCAAGAGGAGGGGGGAGAGTTTGAGATTGTCACTCACTCTGTTTCCAGACCAAGGGCAAGAGAAAAATACTTCAATGTGGACACCTTCCTTTAAGTGAGCCAGCACTCTCACAGTGATTTAGTATCTGAAAGATGTTATTGGCTAAAGTCTGAACTAGTTAAAGGTTGTCTTTTTTTCTGTTTGGTTTGTTTCTTCTTGCACAATGTTTGTCTCTTATGTACCAGTGCTCACCTTGTTTAGAGCCTCAAAGTTGCTCTCGGGCCTTGATGAAAACAAGCAGATGCTGCCTGTCTGTGTGCTTGTGTAAGAGCAAGAGCTACTGAGACTCTCACTGCTTTTCTGTTCAGTATCAGACTTTCTAACATGCACCAACGAAATATATGAGAAGGTATAGCTGTCTTCAAACAGACATACTGAACCCCCCCCCCCCAAAAAAAAAAAAAGAAAATCTGTGGGCACTTTAAATTTTTAAATACTTTTTCCTCAAAACACAAGGCCCTTCAGTTACTAATCTAAAAAGGAAAGGACCAAATACTATAGAATAAGGACTGTTCTTGCCCACAGGGAGAACTTGGGCCTGAAAAGCAGAGCTGAAGAGTAGCGAGATGACATCATCTTTCACTAATATGAACCTGATTGCTTTCTGTGTCTCGGGTGAGAACATACAGAAAGTTGGCCGGCAAACAATGTTTAACTTATGTGATTAGCTTTAATAACACACACGCGCACACACGGACGCGCACACACACAGTATCTAGATATATGGTCAGTAATCACTGTCCTACTTTATGGAAACATTTAGTCCATTTTATCAGCCAAACTAACAGCAGTTGCTGTAAATGTGCTAAGAGTAAGACTATGAGATGACATAAGCTGTACGCAAAGTAATGCCAGGCGCAGGCCTATCTATTTCAGTAACACTAACTGTTTTGACAAGAGACCCCTTTGACTTTGGATTAGCTCATCAAAGCTTATATGATCTGCATCACTTACAAAAGCCACACAATAACCACTTGTACTGTAAAAACAACTCATGACCTTGTTTAACTTCTTTCATGCCAAGCATATATTTTTCTTTTTCACCAATGTTCAGCTGTCACCTCCAATCATTTCCCATTTCTCAGCTTTTCCAGCTCCACGACAGACTTCACATACCCCATTGGTAAAAGCAGCAACATTTCTTCCCATCTTCGAGGTTGTATAAATACCTAAACGGCTGTCTTTTAACCTAACCAGGCTCTGATAATCATAATTGAAAAGGACAATATGCCAGAGAAGAGAGAGAGGTGGAAGGGAAGACACACAAGAGAAGGCCTGTCCTGTGATGACTTGCTGTTTCTGCTCAGCATTTTGGAGGGGGAGCTACAGGTAGGATGATTTACTTCATATTGGATTTGCATTTATTTTGTAGTTCACTCTAGCTCTTGTGAACTCATGAGAAGAAACTGAAATTAAAGCCACTGTTCTTCTGCTGTGTTTGTTGAACCAGGCGAGGGATGAGGTAATTGCTGTTTTGAAATCAGAGCAGACAGATTCAGGTCTACTGAGGACCCACTATGGTTTCAGCAGACAGAAGATGGTGCTTCATGCCCTGTGGAGAGACTCCCTCTGGGCCCAGCAGGACCACTTACAGGATGTGTATGAAAGACCTAATGCTGAGGTACTAACTGCCAACAGAAAGAATGTAGACACCATCTGGAGGAGATAATCAAATTTAATGAGATGGATGCATTACAGTCTGACAAAAGAGTGTCTATTACTGCTGCATCATTGCACACATTTGTTAAATTGCAGTACAGGTGTTGCATGTTTTGAATCCATCCTTCTGCCATGGTTACAAAATCTGTAAGTGAGCACTTTTTCAATTAATTTCTACCACAGCAAAGTGGACTGGGTGGCAGCAAAAATCTTGGAAGAAGCTCATCAAAAATGCCTACTATTATAATGTGGGCAGAATAATTCTTGTTTCTTTTACATAATAACAGCTTTACTCATCAGATTTACATACTATGTTGCATTTTGTAAGCACGGATGATTGTCTTGTGGATTCGGTCTTGGTTTCAGAACGGCAACAGGAGAGAGCTTTCTCCCTGTGGTTAACTCTCAGCAAGTCAAGGTAAACTAAAGTTTTACTCTTCATGCACATTTTGTTTTCCCTTCCCCCCTCTCTTAGCTCAAACAATTGGTGGAAGCCCACGAGCATTCCTCAAAACAGATGATGAAGCAGCTTCAGGAGGTTACCCTCTCTCATTCTGAGGCTCTGCACAGGCTGGAGGAACAAGAGAAAAGCCACAGGGCTTTGATCCACAAGAGCAACAGCCTTGCCACTCTGCTGAAGCAGGACAGAGAGAGGTTTGTGCAGCAAACCCAACACATGTAAATGTATGCCCAAAGACAACACTGATATTTTATATTTATACTCCCATGCTGGCCTATATTGAGGCTAGGCTTATAAAAATATCCACCAATTCCTTTCAGGAAGGGAATGTTACAGCAAGCTAGGAAAGGCTAAGGGATTAAAGTATTTCAGTACATTGGAATAAGACCTGATGGGACGGACCTGAGCTCTGATGTACACTTGTGAAGGCTTAAATTCTTTTAGTCTATGTTGGTCTGTAAAGCTCTTCATGGCAGAGTGAGTGGCTGCTCCATCTCAGCATTTATATATATACACACATATGACCTTAAGACAGTACTTAGGAGTTACTCCACTCAGACACAGTCCATTACGTTCTGGACTTGGTTAGACTTTGTGGCCAACCTGGCTCAGCTCACTGCCCCTTGTAAACACATAAACATGCACTCACTTGCAATTACATGTAGAGGCTAAATTGGCGCTCTCATGTCCCATTCAACAGCACAACACAGTATAGGCTAAAGGTTTCTTCTAAAGTAAGGAAATGTGCTGAGGGTTTGTTGGTGGGTAGAAATGTTCCCTTACCAAATAGAGACCGTATTTAGATGTGGCCTACGGGTGAAGCTAGGTCTAACATAAAGGTGGTGACTGGTTCTCCCATGCAATTTAAAGGTCGTTTTGTTGAAGTTCCCGGTTGTCTTGGTTCATGTACCTCCAGCGTCCACTCTGTAATCTAGCTATGTAGAGACTGGACCCGCACTGGGCTTGCAGCCTTGGAAGGAGACTAGTTGTCTGCTTCTGCATGCCAAACTGAAAAAAGGCTTTTACTGATCCACCACAGGCATATATGCAATTAAAGACCAAAAATAGTCATACCAGTAGAGCGATTAAGTTCACTAGAATTCTCTCTCTTCAAACACAATGTGGAAAGCTAAAAACATATTCACTTAACGAGTATGTGGTTCATCTTGGCCTAATGATGATTAATACATGAGTACATGGCATGTCTGTGGTGTGTCTGTAGCCCCGTGTGACGCATTTATTCCTGAGTGTTCATAACATACAGGTTCTTTCATCTCTTTGCCCGCTCTCCTTTCTAAATATCTAAAACATCATTCTTTATTAAATAATCTAAAGCATAATCCGACTGAACACACACCTTCGCTGTCTTAAAAGAATGATCTTAAAAGAAGGAGACCATAAAAAGGAGCAAAATAGCTAGCTGCCTCTCCAGTGAGTCCCTCGCGCCCTGGTCAAGTCTCCAAATTCCACTGTCATGGGGAGCAGCTAGTGCTTGTAGTCCTTGTTCTGATCTGCAGCCTCTGTGAGACGGTGGAGCTTGAGCTCATTCATCTGCAGGATCAGACTCTGGAGAAGTAGGCGAATGATGGTGGAGGGCCACGACAACAGTGAGACGGGTCAGCAAGCCAGTTGGCAGGGAATGACGTGATGGAAATTATGAGTCTGAATCACCAAATGTTCTTGGCCAGGAATTAAAATACCTGGATACACTGTCCAACTAAAGTCTGTGTGGGAAACACTGGTTATTGTCTGGTTCACTTCCTACCCTTGCTTTTAGGCTCCATTTGTCAGTTAAAAGAATACTTAACCATTTTGATAATCGGTTAAGTGTTTCCGTCTGCTTTTAGGCTAAATGCTAAAATCTACCTTGTAAAATCTTCTGATTTTGTAGCATTTTACAGCATCAAAATTTGCTCTACGCTTAAATCCCAGTGGTGAATCACATCGGATAGAGCCAGATATTTGATTTAACACAGATTTTATGCTGGTTCTTGACGCAACCCTGCCATCTATCCAGGCACTAGGAGAACACCAGTTTCAGACTCCCTGAGGATGGGTTTTCTGTCTCTGGCTGGTCTCAAACTAGGGATGTTTAACGTGCTGGGTATCTGTCCAACTGCTGAATTATGTATTCCAAAGATATAGTTTGTCTAAAGTGCACAGGTTTCTATTGCCCTTCTTTGCATTCCTGACTGCACTTCAGCTTCTTTGAGTTTGGCTTAAATAGGTTTGAGCTGAGTTAAATCTTGCATTTATCCCCTGGGTAAACAACATAAGGCACATGGTGATACGCTTGTCCCTTTCATCTCTTTCCCAGTCCAGTCTTTTTTTTTTTTTCTTTGCTTCTTGCTTTGCAGATGCCTAAATATTTAAACGAGAATTTCCACTCTTACTTCAAATCCTCTTCAACTATCTTTCAATCTCACTCTGTTTCTTCTCAAAGTATATGCTCCAGGCCAAGAAAACCACACGGCCTGGCTAAAAATCGGCACCCCTCACTTTCCCCCCCCCCCTCGTTTCCCTGGAAAAGTAGCTCCACCAGGTGCCATATGCTCAACAGATGACTTGTTTTAGCCATAATTTAATACAGAAGATTCAACACACATCGTATCACCACTTTGCGCAACAGTATGTGTCAAAGGACGATTACATCTTCACGTCACTATGCCATTGCAGCAATCTGGCTGTTCCAACCTCAGCTATCAGAACATGCTTTAAGACTGTGTGTATTTTCTATGGTTTATTACTGGGATGACAGCATCTCAGCATTAACCGCACACACATGTTCAACATACAAGGGACATCAATGCTCTCATCTGTCCATTTCAGTTCAGAATCACAAACTCTTCATAGACTTTACCCAAAACCACTCTTAGAGCTATCATGTTTTCACTTTACAACTGATGTGGCTTTCTCATCAATACATCATCAGTGAGCACTACAGATGCAGGAAAGGAATGCACATGATCTAAAAAGGATTATTTAAAACAGCCCTATGAGGCTGTACACTTTAGTCCTTTGGGTTAAATTCTCAAGTTAGCTAAAATACTTTCATCCTAACATGTTCATGTCATATGCTCAAAGGGACAATGCATACATATAACTGTTCCATGTTTATCACCTTAGATTAGGGTGTTAGCTTATATTGTTTGCCAATTAGCACTACAGCCCCCCCCCCGCTATTTCTTTTCCTGTGTTGAAATGCCAAAGGAGGAGGAGACTAACCAGACGGGAGAGCTGAACAGCGTAACTCTGTCAAATTAGCATATCAACAAGAATTACGTCAACCTGAGTATCTGGTACAGTTTTGGTTTTCTTCCTTCATTCTTTGTTTTTCTAATCATTTAGTCCATTTTAGCATCATAATAACATCCGTTACCAAGTGAAAACTGTGGCCTCGGGTTTAAAGACGCTGATGTGTTTTGCAGCTGCAGCACACTCAGCTGCAAACTGTTTAAGTGAGTACTGGGAGTCCTCCTGGGATGGTGGCGCTTTATCACCTGCTCGATGCCTTCCTTCCTCGCAGCTTCTATGCCTTCAAATCTGGCTACAAAATATACAAAAAGTAATAGAGGCAAGATCAAGCCTAGGCCAAAGTTCAACACACACAATAAACAGGTCCAAATTATTGCCAAGAAAGTAAACACGTCTTTCAGTTCAAGGGTTGAGGCAATGTATAGCAAGGAGAGGCAAACCCTGGTTTTCTCTGTGGAAAGCCCTGCAGAAACCCTTGGGGAATCTGCATTGTTAGTCTACATACCACATGTAGACTTATTTAGTAAACTCAAGGCTCCTCAGTGCAACAAAAACCACAGGAGGGTAAAACATTGGTCTGCTGCACTACAGCCTAGATGAAACCAGCATTCAGCCTAAAACTGAGGCTCAACTATCAGTCTCAACCCCTTTTTCAGGACAGAGAAAATAAAAGGCAGGCGGGAAGGGTGATATCCATGTAATTGGCACACACTGTCCAGTCCCTTTTCTTGAACAGCTTGACTCCAGACGGTGAAACTGTGATCCCATTAGCGCTAGCATTAGAGCAGAGCCTTGATGCCCAGTCAAAACAATGCATCTTAGCTGGTTAATCCAGCATCAGCCTCATGTGTAAAATGTCTGTAGACAAAAGGAGTTGTTTGATAAATTACTATTAAACACAACTGGAAAGGAACTGAATAGCCTCTTCTGTTTTTAATTTTATTAATTTAACACTGGCTAAAATGTAATTGCACTGGCTGCCAACTCAACAAAAAGACTTGAAGTTTTCACAAAGAGGAGAAGAGGAATATTTGTATTTCACATTTGCTTTCAAGCCAAGTTTTTCAGGTCATAATGAAAACTCTTTAACTAATGAGGTATTGTATTACATGGTTAATAAACAAAACATTTTCAGAACTTCATATCACATACATGCAACAGATGTACTGTTGCAAATGAGACCCGCGGCAATCCTTGTATAACGTTTTATAGTTTTACGAAGAACTGAAAATGTTATTCCTGTATTACCTGAATTACTAGAGAACCAAGAGAAAAGCAACACAATAAACACGGCTGTGCCAAAGCAGAAACCCGCAGATGTTCTGTTCGTCCCTCACTCAAACGCATTCGCCATCTGCCTGCTCAGCCAATGAAGTGTCAGAAGATGTTCATAAATTATCAGGATCTGGCAGTGAATCAACTCGGAGAAGAAGCACTGCCCCGATCACAAGCTGTTGGGCCCATTTATTAGCTATAGTGAGCAGATGAGGTCAGTTTAGTCATACTTTCAATTTTATTAAACATTTAGATAAATGAAGGGAAGAAAGCCAACACCGACTGACTAAGCAGCTGCTTTTCTTTCTGTACTTTCAATGTGCCATTTATATGAGCGCGCTCAGTAAAAAGGATTTGTCAAATGTGACAGCCTTAAAAAAAGAAGAAAAAGAAAATTATACCTCTGCATGAAAATAGGAGCTAAGAAAACAGAGGAGAGTGCTACACTCTGATAAGAGACCTATTACATATCGGCATTTCGTGTGTGTGTGTGTGTGTGTGTGTGTGTGTGTGTGTGTGTGTGTGTGTGTGTGTGTGCGCACTCTTTTAACCCCCAAATATGAGTTTTCAAGAACTGGATGAAATGCCAACTCCTCCTCTATGTAAAAGAGGACCTCATGAACTCTGATATGGGAGTTGGTATGTGCATAGATATTCAAAGGAATGAGGAGGATCTTTCTCACACAAGAGAAATATCTCAAATCTCTCTCCTGGCAAAATAATTATAAAGGTCATGGCAAAAAGAAAGTTTGAATCTTATACTGTATTATATACTAAATACTATAAGTATATAATTAAGATAGTGTCACTGTCTTCCATGGAGGTAGAAGTAGTTGAAATGGTTTTACTGATAAAAATGCAAAACACAAGCAATGCAACTTGGCCTGGCTTTTGATCATTTCAATATTACTTTGATCAAAAGTTAAAGGTTCTTTTAAGTGTTGTAATTTCCAAAGCATATCAAAGCATAAAAGGCCACTTTTGATAGTGAACATATTCTAAGATGGCAAAGGTACCTTAATTAGCCAATAATAAATCATCATACGTGCCTAGACTTGTAATCAACCAAATCCTGTGACTCCACTTTGGGTATCCTCCCAGTTGGGCAAGATCTGTTTTCCACTAAGGGGCTTCAAGTAAGGTGTGAAGTTTTAAAACTTGGAAAATTGTCTTTCAACTTTAACTTTCTGCATTTTGGTTATCAGATTATTTTCATTTCATTTGGGTTAAAGGAAAATAACTGTAAATCTCAGACCCAGAAATAAAGCAAAAAACAACAAGGCTGTGTGTGTCTTAGGTGGCTGCTTCGTGGATTTTTTTAAATTAAAATTCTGCTTGTGTCGCGTTAATTACCCAGTGGCACAGTACATTTTATAATGACCACTGCAGACCAAAAACGTCTGATGACTCGTGCTTAGCTGCTGCCATTTTATCAGCTACATTTCATTAAAACAGAGCCTAAGACAAGAGGTCTATCAATTCTGCAGTAAAAAAAGAAGAAAAAAGTTACAATTTATGCAATTAAGGGCAAGCTAAATATTAGAAATGCCACTCTGCGTTTTAATAAAACATGATAATCTTCTTCAACAATAAGTAATCACCATTACAAACCAAAAACAATTAGAAATGAAATGTTATCAACCACAGCTATCTATGCCTTTAGAACAGGCAGCCACAGTTGCCATGAAGCAATTAAGGGATTAAAGCAAATACCAACCAGGCACAGAATACAGCCTTACATCACCAAGTTATGCAACTTGTAGAGTCTGTTATGAAGAGGAGGTTGTGTCTCTAAATGGAAGACGTTCACATGTTAAACTATGACACAAATGATTCGAGATGGATTCTCTGCTGACAGAAACAGCTTAAATATTTTTTGTCCATTGCACACACATTGCATGTGCGATTTCTTGTTTCTATACCTGACCTGAGTCTAAGTAGTTTCAGTGGGGTTTAATTTGGCATGCTTCATATTAAAAAAAAAAAAAAGCTTGTGAACATAAATGTCTAAATAGCGAAGTTTAAGTGCACCTTTTTGCTTGTTTTCTAAATTCTTGTGAGACTGCGACATGCCTCATGAGGGAAAAGGCCTTTTTTATTTGAGGCCTACATGAGTTTGCTCGACAGAGGGGAAAAAAGAAAGTACCACCATAGGTTTATTTAGCAGTGAAAAACATTGCAAATAAATGGAACAGAATCTATATTTTTTTGATTTTGTTTAGCACAATCATTTAAAAAGTTTAAACATTAACACCTATTTATTATCTTTTTCATTCCTGTGACAGATGAGACTAACTGCGAGAATAAAGGAGTATAATCACGCTATACTGAGCACGCAGTTCACGACTTGAGTAATCAAAAAGAAGACATAGATAAAGTGAAAGTTGATGATGGCATGAGAGGGAAAAAAAGATTGGCATTTTCATAACTAGAAGCAAAAATGTAGAAAGAGAAAATAACTCACAAAAGAGAGAATGTGTTGAGGAGAGAGAAAGAGAGGAAAAAAAGAGGGACATATGGATGCAATTGAGGGCCGATGAACTGATGATGTCATCTCCCAGTCAGGTTATCGGGCCCCAGGCAAAGCTGCTACAACTCACAAAACATGTTTTTTCTTCTTGAAGTATATTCAAACTCCAAGCACACAACATATAAACTGGTCTGCATGCTTCTGGGACACGCCAAGGCAGGTTAAGAATTTATGTAGCATGGTTATGGTTAAATGTTCGGTTAAACTAATCCTGCAAACTGAGGGTGTTATCCTTGCAGATTGAATGGTGATTGAAGACTTTTCTTTGCGTGCGCACACACACACACACTCCTTCCCATTAGCCTCTTTGGCATTGCTACACAATGACCTCATCTGCAGTGGGCTGAACTCCAGAAAAAAAAGACACACACACAAACACACATGTTCACACACACACACACACACACACACACAGAAGTAGAGCCTGTACAGTCCCATATAAGGACTTGCTGATGATGTAATGGGCGCCACTGAGTGCGAGAGAGTCTCTGTGCGGAGCACTTCTCATAATGTTTGGTTTTCCGGATGGAACGTCCACATCACTGGGATCTCTGGGAAAGGGAGAGGTAAAAGAGTGGAGGCAATTTATTCTTTGAGGATTTTTTTTCCAAAAAGAAAAAAAAGGACACGGGCCAGCTGAACTGCACAGGTAGGAACGAAAAATTTTTTGTTCTACAGTGAAAAGATGCAGACATGCATTTAGAAACGTTTCCCAATTTAAAACCCGATTTACAACTGCAAGATAAGCTGATAAGGATAACGTAACTGTTGGCTAATTCTACACAGATTAAACAAAGAGATTGCTTTGCAACAGAGCTGTTCAAAAGGTATCCAAGGTGTTGATTTAGATGTAGAAAATTATTTTGAAGATTTTGCTTTTTGCAATTTTCTGCATTTAAAAGGAATCAACACATTACTCAAAGTCAAGAGAAACAATATAACAACTCATCAGTGAATGATCTTATTAAAAACAGAAATACTTAACAGCGAGTTCATAACCACCCATTTGTTCCACTTACAACTATTTAAACTGCACTAATTAAACTCACTCAAAACACACTCCAAGATTAAAGTTGTAAGAGAAACATCTTAATTAACAGCGCTCTTGATTCTTTTCACAAACACAATGTTCAGTCTCGTATTTGAGATTTAACATTAGTAGCCTTATATTTTAAAAAATTAAACAAAAAAACTCATTAGTTTCAAGTCAATATAGAGGATCTGGAATTATACACAAGTAGAGCTAAATGTCTGGACTACACTGTCACTGTTTTTAATGTGTGCTTGTTTTAAAAGATTCTGCTATGTGAACTGTGGATATACCTCTAGAGTGCAAAATAGCATGACACAAAAAGTCCAAACTCTCCCATTCCGAATAGTAAAAATACACCGGTGACAGATCACATTGGAGCATATGTCTCATGCACTAAGATGACAAAATACACAGTATGAATTAATGCTTGTACAGAACTCGTGCGCATCTGGGGGAATGTGAGGAGTGACAGCACTTGGTAAAAGTAGCCAGTCTGTAATTACTTTAAGAACAGAGGGGAATTCCTGACTCTCTTAGCTTAAAGTGGGGTTTACATTTGAGGTGCACAGAAGGAGGGTGATTGGATGCAGCATTGAGGGTACTCAAGGGTAAAGAAACTTCTTAATTAACCAATACTCCCTGCCAAGGGACCATCTGCCATGTGAGTCAAAACATCCCACAGAATGGCTGTTGCTTTGAAAGAAACACACAAACATAAAGAAATATACACACATGTCCTCATGTTGTACATTTCACAGGAATACACAGATGTGCAAAAAAAAAAAGCCTCCTTTGCTTCTGGGGGAAACTGAGTGGGCAACAAACTGTTATTCAGATTCTTCTGAAAAACAAAATAAATGTTTATGCTGGAAATACACAACTTAGGACATTTTGTGAGTTCAAGAGGTTAGCTGTAAACATAAAAAGTGCCCTTTGGGGGCTGAAATGAGTCAGTTACACAATAAAACTTGGCTGCATTATTCTGTTTGACAATACATTTCAATTCTTTTCCTCTGCAGATTCAAGCTGTTGCTTATAAAGGAAAGAGAGTACCAGGAAATTAAAGAGAAGAAACATGAAAGAGAAGCATCCATTCTAAAAAAGGAGCTGACCGAGCTGAAGGCTTTTGCACTGCTAGTTGTAAAGGAGCAAGAGAGACTGAGCAAGCTGCTGGAGGAGCAGAAACGCTGTACCAAAGAACTGACGGCTATCACTGACCATATCAAGCAGAGGCTTAGTGCTCCTAGACGAAGAGCAAAGGTGGGGGAGGAACTAAAATCTCTGCATATCGAGGTTGAGCGCCACAATCAAGTTTCCCTCTTCCACAAAAGCCAGAACAACATGACAGCCCTAAGCCTCCTGTCAGAGGTCGAGGTACTGAGGAGAAGGGTGGTGCAAATGGAGGGAAAAGACGAAGAGCTGATACGCATGGCGGAACAATGTCGAGACCTGGACAGCAGACTAGCGAAGGAGACCAGCAACTGCCGTAGCCTGAAAGCTGAAGTGGATAAACTCAACAGCAGAATTAGTGAACTGGACAGGATGGAGGAGGCTTTAGGCAAGAGCAAACAGGACTGCAGCATCCTAAAAAACAGCTTGGAGCAAGAGAGACAGGGCAGCAAAATGCTTTCTGATGAACTTGACACTTTAAGGCTAAAGGTAAGAGATCTAGAGGCCGTTGAGAGCCAACTGGAGAAGAGTGAAATGGTCGTCAGACAAGATCTTGGCAAGCTCAGGTCACTTACTGTAGCTTTGGTGGAGGACAGAAAAACTATGGCTGAGAGACTCCGACAGGCTGAGGAAAAACTACATAGGAAGGAGGCCAAAAGAAATGAGCATGGCAATTTGGCCACAATGACAGAAAAGCTGAGAGAGGACAGGCTGCAGGCACTGAGGTCTCAAGTGGACTTGGAAGAAACAATAAAGAGCATAGCAAAGGAAAAAGACGATCTCCTGGACAGTCTGAACAAAGAGGAGGAAAGAAACAGAGAACTACAGAATAAGGTAACCATAATGAAGAAGAAGTTACAGGTCTTGGAGAACAGGAAAGAAAAAGAGGACAAATACTCATACACCTCTATTCCAAATAACACTGCCTATTACTGCCAAACTGAGGACAACAAAGTTAAAGAACTGACCCGTGAGTTAGAAAAGCTGCAAAAGAGACTCCAGGATAAGGAAGTGCTGGAGGGAGAACTGATGAAACTGGAAGAGGACTTTGAGTGTCTTGAAAAGAGGCTCCATGAGGAAAAGACAAGGACCCAAGCTCTAACAGAGGAGCTGGAATTGACAAAGAGAGAGCTTTCAAGGTACGAGCAGGCAGAGAAGCAGGAGGTCAACCAGGAGCACCTTCTCCTTTGCCGCCTTCAGAAGGAGCAGGTTAAATCTAGACTCTTAACCAGAGAAGTAGACAGCCTGAAAGAAAAACTCCAGAAGCTGATGGGAACAGAAGAATCCATCTGCAGGATGCAAGTGGATCAATCCGCACTGCAAAGAAAACTGAACCAGCAAGAAGCCAAGAACAAAGAGCTGGCCAGAGAGATGAAGGAACTTACTGGTGAGCTAGACAGATACAGACAAATCAATAGTGTGAAACCCAGTGCCAGCAAACACACTGCAGTCCATGATCAGACCACCAGAGAGGTACAAACTGAACCTGCACAGAGCCTGCTTCCTGACTATCGGAGGCACAGCAAGAAACTAGATGAACAAAATGGTGACACAGACCCAAACCATAATGTAGAGATCGTCAACAAAAGGAGCTCTCCTGTCAACAGCCTTAACAGCTTAAACAGTACAAATAACAACCTAAGCCAGGACAGCAGCCACTCAGGGACAGAAATGCACCCAACAATTAATGGAGAAGTTATGATGTTAACACACACACCAGGTCAGCCACTGCACATCAAAGTAACACCGCATCATGTCCTCAACACAGCAATGCTCGAGATCAGTAGCCCAACTGGAGAGACAGCGTCATCATACACCAGCACAGCCCTAATCCCGACGAGTGGAGCTTCACCTAAGCAGAGAATTACCATCATCCAGAACCCTAAGACCCCCACTTCCAACCCTGACCGTGCCATCTCCCCCCTTGACGGAGCGAACATGTCTCGGATGTTGAGCCCAAATTGCTCACGCTCTGTCACACCCGACCACAACAGCTCTCCTATTCAGATCGTAACTGTCAGGAGTTGCTCTCCGGAGCCAGCAGAGGTTACAGATCAGACTATTTTCTGCAAGACACCTGAACAGCAGAACGGCTGGTACCATTCGAGGTCCAGTACCCCTGACTCAAGTCCCAGTATCATCACAACAGAGGACAGTAAGATCCACATCCATCTGGGGAGCCCATATTTCCAGCCCCGACATGGTATGACCCACAATTTCCCACAGCCCGTTGGGCCATACTATGTTCGACATGAACAAAGAACTCAAGTACTCACTAACGGCTGTCATGTAAAAGGTGTTGGAAAGATTACAAGTAGCATCACTATATCCCCTGCTAGCTCGCCAGGATCATAATCCTTAAATGTTACAATAAGCAGTCTTTGTATTTAGGTGAAATACAAATATATAATATGTATTTTGCAAAAAATATGTCCTCAGTCATCATTTTAAACTCTACACAACCAAAATAATTCTGCAAATGCAAAAGTATTTTGATGTATTTGAATGTTTCGTCATGTTTGTTTAATGAGAGCCTTTGTAAAGCTTACTTTATTTGATTACTGTCTCAAGATTTATTGACTTTAACAACCCTTCATTGTATGTCAAGTGCCTGTCTAAGACATAAATGAGATGTCAGTGTTTCAATAACATTCCTTTTTTCCCTTGTTCATTAAAAGTTATCTTGTTTTCTATGTATTCATACTGAATACTTCTCAGAGGAACTGGGTCGCTTGCCAGTTTAAATGCAAAACAGCTGGATTTGGGAAAAAGTGAGTGCAAAACAGTGCTTTGATGTTTGATGAATTACTGGAAGAAAAAAAAGCTTTATATGTTTGCTGAGCTGGGTTCGACTCAAAAACCTTTTTTCCCCCCTAATGCAAGGAAACTTGGAACACTTGGTGATGGAGGAGGTGTCCAGGTTTAATTGTGAATTGGCCACTAATTTACTTTTTAGTAAATATTATGAACTGTAATTGTTATTATTAGCATTTAACTAATTTCAAAGTGACAACTGATCCAATTAAATCATTTAAAAAGGTTTAATAGATACATTTCCACTGCTTTCCTGTGCTGTGAAAACAAGCAAGACCCCCCAAAGTATTCAGCATGTGCCTTCTCCTGCCAACCAAATATCCCAATTTATAGATTAATGAGGCATTGTGTCACCATACTGATGTGCTTACTTTATGATTCTACAGCCTGTATGATGTAGACAAACGTAGTTTTGGTTCTCAAAGTTCAGCTAAACAATAATTCTGTTGCTTTCAAGACACCTATTTAAGATTTAGATGAAGAATGCTAAAAAGAAAAAAAACAAGTGTACTGTTGAAAAAAGTAATGGAAAATTAAATCTGTTATGAAAGAAAAATATGCACAGGAATAAGGAATTATTGTTTATCTTGGAGAAAATACAGTTTACTGCCTTAGTTTCCGAAATAGCACAGATAATCCTCACACATTAAGCACAGTGATAACTTCTGCAAAAGCTCAATAAGGCTGGAAAAACACACAAGTTAAACAACAGCAATCAATTTATTCTTTTTAATTAGGTCAGCCGATTCCTTTAAATAAGCTCGCATCAAACCTGAAACCATAACAGCAGCCTTTGCTGTTTTAAGTGAACACAACCCTTATTAGATATTTTTAAGTGCAACATGACAAAATGAACAGTTACACAGTGTGGCAGAAATAAATAGCCTAAGACACTTCAGCAAATGAAATCTAGTCACCAAGTCATGATGAGCTGTGCCATCCAAATAGGAAACTAGCTGACAACACTGGGGGATACCATTACATGTCCTGGGGGGAGAGACGCTGGCAGCAAGCCTACAAATAGTGTGTATCTAACAACAGTTGCAGAGAAATATTAATGTGCAACTTGACAGGGGCTCTTGTGAGACCCTTTATTATTGGTTTGAGGATTTGGCCACAAGACACATCATCGCAAAAAAGGAAGAAAAAAAATATAGAAAAAAGCAGGAAAAAGTTGCACTGCTTCTTGCAAATTGCTGCCTTATTCTTAAGACTTCAAAGTCAATCCCATCCTCCGTCTAACAGACTTCAATTCTGCTTTACAACCCTGTCAATTTTCTGTCAGCCTTGCAGCCATTTCTGTCAAGCAGCTCTGTGATATGAACGCATGGAAGGACGGTTATGCCAGGGGCAAACCTACAAAAAGAAAGCGCTGCACAGATCTCTGGACATAAAAACACACATGGGTTTACATAAGTAATAGCATGAAAGGTTGGAGAGTATCACCTGTGCAGATAATACATTCTGCTGAAGCATTTCAAGGTGATCACAGCTCATTGCCCAGGACACATGGAGAACAGGCAACTTGTAGAACCCTTCTCACTGCCTGGTCATGACTTTCATCATGAACAAATCCCAACATTTATGAAAGAATGCAGATTTTACAGAAGTGGTCAATCAGCCCCAAGAGGAAACTGTAGTAAACAAATAGGCAAACTCTAATAAATTAATATATAAGTAAAATATATGTATTATATAAGTAATAGATCAACTAATCAATTAAAGTCTGCGCTGATCTGTAAACACACAGATGTTTATTATTTTAAAGCAACGTTAACACCTATATAATATTAAAGAGCGGTATATTGCATTATATAAATAACGTAATAAGGATCAGAAATTGAACTGAGGCTGGTATGGCTCAATTCAATATATTTTACTGACACGTGCACTAACACCTGGCATATTGTGTTTCGTTTCTGCGTGCATGTGCGGAGACAACAAATGCAGAAAACGTGAATGAACATATTTAGCTCAAAAATTGCTAATGACTCTCGAAAATACAGCATCATGCTCACATTCCAATATGATCGCTACACAATCAGGTCATTCGTCCTAAAACAGCACGACTGCCCTCTTTTGGTATGCAGAGTGCATGAAGCTGTTCCAGAAGTAGCCGCAGGGAACTTCCTGTGTTGATATGTGGCAAGAAACGTGGGTACAGCCCACTGAATGCTTAAACCTATGCGTATAAGACAGTTAATTTTTAAGTTGAAAGAAAGCGAAGGGCACGATAGGGGACATTAGAGCAACTTTACCGGTCCTATAACCTCGTTTTCTGCAGTGACCCGCACATAAAAAACAGGTGAAAAAAACACGTGTTAATACACCCCCTGCTCATAATAACTACTGCGACCAATGCGGATAATAACTAACCAGACGTAAGTCACATTTAGCACTGCTTTGTCTTTTCACTTGCCGCTATGTGTACTTTAGGTTAATGTTGCACGAATGTACCCAGGGGTTAACAGTAACTCAGACTGCTGCGATTGTTGCTAGCTAGCGTTAGCTTACTATAGCCGACAATTTCTGCAACAGCTCCAAGCTACCGTTGTGTTTCCTTAGACTACACCAGGACCTCCAATACAACAAGAGAAGTCAAATGTACATGGTTAACCCAAATACCTGATTTGTACTCGTGTTGCCACCACTCGTCACCCAAGTCGTCACCCATTTTCTTTAGCTAATACTCCGTCCAATCCAAATATACCGCTAAGAGAGCAAGCTAGGGTTGCGTTCACAGTCAGTAGGATTTTTAAATGTAACAAACTGATACAATACTAACAAAAATACTAGCTGACACACTTTATACTGTAGGCATACATGTGTATTGATTACACATGCAGATTCAATAATTATACATTTTTCGAAGTTACAGTTGTTTGCACATTTATTTTTACTTGGTGGAACGCCCATTGAAATGTTACAGTATTTCAAATTATGCTAAATGTTTTTGTCTCATCACAAGATTACTAAGTGGCTCATTGTTAAATAATATCTGGGACTCTTAAATAAAGGTGGGTAACATACGACAACCAGGGAAACAAAACAAAACAAAACTGGTCTCTACTTGTGTACACATGGACAGTGAAGGGGCCTCGGCCTCAGGATCCCTAACTATCAGAGAGCGCATAAAAATGTGTCTGGGAGCCACCCGATGCAGTGACAGTCAATGCATTAAGCAAGTTGCTATTGCTTTTTTAATGAACAAGTGAGATTTAATAATAAAATTACTATAATTCACTGTAATACTATAATAACTGGCCAAAAAAAGATAGATATAAATATGAAATAAAAATGAGATCAAGTTAAGGAGGAGTAAAAAGTAAGACTGTGCAAGCAAGTAGTGCAAATTGCATTAATAAGTTATATGTACACTATAAATCTGAGAAACAGCTGCAAGAAGAAATCAGTGCAGTATTTTCTGATTAAACACTGCAACATTTTTTGGCACTTTAGATACATCACACAGTATCATGAGGGAGACATGTGACTGGCCTCAAATTTATTCTTCAGCACAAATAAATTTGCAGCAATGCAAAAACATAAAGCATCTTATCAGCTACAAGAAGGGGTTATAGCAACAGATAGTGTCGATGAGCAGCTGAGACAGCCTTGCCACAGGACAGTGGGAAGTTCTTCAAGATGCTTTGAGCAGCCTACCTGGCAGGCGCCTTAAAAACAATGCACAACACCCATCATTTAGGTGATTTATGGTTTTTTCTGTGTGGGCAATGGGTCATCTGCCCCTTGAGCATCCTCCTCTGTCAAACCAACACTCTCTTCGTCCTCCTTTGCTGCATCCGGACATCTTCTCTGTGATCTTCCTCTTTTCCTGTGAAAACAAAAAAAAATATTTTTTTAATTTCCCACATGCTGACTTTCTTATCTGGGTGATAATGATAATCTGTTTATCATGCAATTAATAGTAAAGATTTGCTTAAGCACTTAACAAAAGCTCCAAAATCCTTTCTTGCACTGAGGGCAAACATTCGTGCCTCACTCGGCATACATTTGTCCTTTGCTCTTCAGTCATCAAAAACAGCTTTTCTTTTTAGGGCTGTTAACCTTTCAGTAGGTAGTACTTTACTATTTCGAGATGACGGGTGTTTTGTTGGATGGGAGAACAATAAAGATGACAAATAGGTTTGCGAAATAAATTTTACAAATGACGAATGCAATTACAGGATAAACCCTCATTATTAATCACACAGTGACATTTCTCTTGAGGACGAGAGCGCCATCTTACTGTTCTTTTACTTTGTGTACATTACAAAACACGTCTTTACATCCTCTGTCATTATTGTTTGGAGGAGGAGGAGTTTCAGCACAGAGAAGAAGTGAAAGGAAAAAGGAGGAGGATGCGTTTGGAATAGTGCCCTCGTTCCTGCAGCTGTAGTGGAGAGGAGGGACGGCTCCTCTGGGAGTAATTGCATGCTTTTTTGTTTTTCTGTCAGAATAACACATTTCTGGCTGGTATAGGGTATGAGATGTTTGATTAAAGCTTTACTGCAAAAAAAAAGAACAGACTGATTACTGTGGAAATTATGGAGGGTTTAGAATGGCTGTGCTGTGTAACCCTCAAATGGGGGGAGAAAAACAAATAAAGACAGAGAAAGGAAGGATGCAGTGAACACATTGTGCTAATGTCTGCCAACTTTCAGGCAGGACAATAGGCTCTAAATGGCAGCTATGTATGTAATTAAGAATCATTCCTGTAAAACACAGGGCTCGTCCTCATTTGTCATTCTTTCTGTTCACTGTTTGGCTGCGTTTTCAAGGGAAACAATGCTGTAAAAAAAAAAAACCATACACACACAATCCAATCTTTTCTAGGCCATTGAGGAACCTGTATGACTTAAAAAAAATCCTGTGTTAA